ACAAACAAGGAATTGTATTAGTGATAAAGTTAAAGTTGTTTTCGCCTTTAAGATTTGTATTTCTGTTTGTTTGACATTTTTGTTTATTTTTGGATGCGTCGATAAATTTTTAACTTCTTTTTGTTTGTTATTAATGAAGATTTCAAAAATTCTTAGTAGTTTATGGTCCAAATTGTTTGCAGGGCATATATTAAGCAATTTCTTACGTCTAACACATCAGCGAAAACTTAATTGGATTACGGAAACGACTGACGAAGAAAACATCATCGACATAAATACCATAATCATACAAAAACAGGTAACAAAATTAAGAATTTTATTACTAACAACTACCCCACTGAAAATAAAAAACCATTAAGTCATCTACAAAATCAAATGTAATTCATGTAAATACTTTCAGGTCAGTGAAACTGGAAAAGAATGAACCTTAGAATTAAGAAATATCTTAAAGAATCTTCACATGTTTTTGGAAATCTTAAAAAACAAAACATATATCACTTAAAACAATGACGAAATCATCTGAAGAGAATCAGCTACGAATAAAAGAAAAATATTTGAAGCACTACTGATAAGTCATCAAAGTCAACGCTAAATAATTACCTGGAAGTCCACTTTATCTATATTAGTATTCTGTCCACCTCATTTTATTAAAAAAGTTAACTTAATGCCATTTACGAACTTGTCCTCAACATCTTGAGTCTGTAACATTCTTTGGAATTTACTCCCTTTTGGAATGAAACTCTTATCTGATGATGACTCGATATTATGGGTCGATACGTTGTAATTATTAAAATCAGAATTTCGTACAGTAAAAGTTGCTGTCATTATATCTTTGAATCTAACCAAAAATACCTTAGGTGTGAAAAAAAGGTGCGGCAAAAAAATGATTCAGCATGCGACTTAAAGGAATGAAATCAAAATTGGCGACCAAACTGGTAGTTACACTTATAGCATTGATAAGAATTTTACAGCAAATGTTCATTCATTAATTAGCCAGGCCGCATTTTTTGTACAGAACCTTATTATTTGTGCTTGATAAAACCTTACACGATATGACAAGTAGACAAGACTAACAAGTAAAACTCTTGAACAAAGATAAATTATAAATAAAATCGAAGTTACAAGTTAACATACGATAAAGTGCCATAACATAGCACTAAAATATACGTAATTAACCCTTCATATAAATGCAACATGCTTCACACAATAATGTAAAATAGAAATTTCATAAAAGCAAAGGAAATCCTTCAATGGAATATCCAGATAGAAGTATAAAATAGAATACAAGGATACATTTTTTACATAAATATATTATATAACCCTTTAATAATAGTACAGACATACAAGGCTTAAAATGGATATACTTACAAAAAATGAAATGATTAAAGTATAATACATACAGCATTTCAAACGTAAACAGCAATACTCATATACTAAGAACACTGGTGTACGTATGTATAGATAATTATAATCACAATAGACAAAAGCATTTTAAACATACACACATATATATACACATACATGGTATAATTATTGATGTAAATTCATAGCAAAAAAAAAACATAAAACTTTTCAATAAAGTTTACACACAAGAAAGGAAGAAAAGAAATACATTTAAGGTATTAAGAGTCAGTCAAAAATTACAATATAAAATGAGATAGAATAGAAATACATATATATGTACAATGCTGGTAAAAAAAAATATTTGGGTTTTGGACAAGTTTATTGTTTGTTTCCTTCCTTCCCACAGAAATTTGAGTTTAAGTTTAATCAGATATTCTTCCCATGATCGATTCACAGGGAATTCAATAATAAAAACAACTTGAATGCACCCTGTTTTCTGTGAAAACAAGGAGTTAAGAAAAATTACCCTTAAATAGAGAAACTAAAGAGTCCATATTTTCGCGTTAGTGATATATATTCCCAGGTATCTTTTAAAAACGTTGTATTAAAATGTGGCATTATATATGCCCAGTATCTGTATATTTTGACATTATCTCAGATGCTAATGACTTACACTATAGCTATAATTATAAAGTAGAACAGTTTATGTGACTTACCTATAATACTACTATGGTATATTGACATATGAATTGATACTGTAACGCATCATACAGATCTAGAAAATTGGGTACAGTAGCATTACTAAAGTGATTAGATGAATGGTTGTTTCACAATAAGCTTTTCGTCACATACGTAAAGCAAGAGCATTATAGCACACTAGTGTGACAATTTTAAAATTATATAGTCATCATTTCAACGTATATTAAACTTCATGGCCAGGTGGTTAGGGCGCTTGACTCACAATCTGAGGATCGCGAGTTCGAATCCTCGTCCCACCAAACATTCTCGCACCGTGGAGACGTTATAATGCGACGGCCAATTCGTTGGTAAAAGAGTAGCCCAAGATTTGGCGGTGGGTGGTAATTACTAGCTGCCTTACCTCTAGTTTTACACTGCTAAATTATGGATGGCTAGCGCATTTCGCTTTGGGCGGAATTCAAAACAAACAATCAAGCTTTATTACTTGTCAATTCAGATGTGCTAAATCCCCTTTTCACAAATTTAATTGAAGGTTTTGAAAAAATACCCCTTCCCCCTATTTTGTGGATTTTTACTTTTTTTGTAAAAAGTTAGGTTTGAAAATACTCGGTCAAACTTGTGTCTGCTTATTCAGAAATTTGGTTAGAATTGTAGGTTTGTAAACGATAGAGTGGTTCAACAAAACTCAATTTTGTTCGTGAAAATCAGAATGTGGATGCATACCTGAGAGTGGGCTGTTGAGTTTTACACACGTGAATACATGATGCATTGGCTTAGGCTAAGTAGCCAAAGTTGTCCAGGCTAGTCACTCAGATATACTTCCCCCTTTATGGACACTACTGTATACATATATAGAAATAACAGACGTAGCCAATACCCTTTAGAAATATAAGTAATAAACAAAGTAGCAAAAAAGTACAAAAGTGAAAATAAACCATTTTAGAACGACTTTCAAAACAATACCCAATATTTGTAAAGTTATAAGAATGATCAATGAAACTTAGAATGAAATCGAAGAAAATAATACAATAAGAAAAAATATAACTTTGCACTTCATACAAATGTACATTCACCTAGATATATTATTATATGTATCTGACAGTGAGCTTTCCGATACCGTATTGAATTAATGGTGGGCTAAAGTAGGCTTGTGTTAGAGCTTATTCATTTTTGCAAGGTCGTTTTTGTTTTAGCTAACTCTATGAAACCTTCTTGAAGCTCTCAAGCCACCTTAGAGGAGTCATCTCTTTTCTGGCCCATTCTAATTGCTCTCCTATTATTGGCACACAACTCAAGCTTTGGTTTATACTGTTGTTTGGGCTATACAATAGTGTTATAATGCTGCTGTTTGTTTGAAAGTGTAGTGAGTTATAATTGAACTGAACTCAACGTCATTTTCAGAAATTCTTGGCATTTTTGTTGTTGGGCTGAAGACGTCAAAGGTTGTGGCATGTTAGAAAAGAGATAGAAGCCTCTATTTCTATGGCATGAATGGAGGCGGAGGTTGAAGACTTTTCCTGGCATTGCTAAAATTACCATCTATGTTTTAACTCTGGGAAGATCTTCTCAGGTTTATGCATGATAAATATTCACTGGATCTACGTGCACAACTCATTTCAAAGGTTGCTAGTTTTATTGAAACTTCATATTGTACACTTGAATATAATTATGGTTCTCTTTTGCTTCTAATTTCTTTTCTTTGGTCATGATGCAGTGGTGGACAATGGTGTTTGCCGCACAATGGGCAGATTTGGTCTCAGAATTCTTATGGAGACAGATGGTAATGTCTTCTGAGTGGGTGGGACATCTGGCGGTACGACTGTGGTATTTAAGGGCACTACCGGCTTCTGAAGCTTCAATTTCCATCTGTTTGTAACATCTGAGAGAGCTTGAACATCAGATGTCTCAGCCAACGAAGATCTTCATCCTTTGACAATATGTTGAATGCAATCAGATTGGCTACAGAAGTTTTGGATACTTTGAGGTAACTCTTGATGTCATTAAACAAAATATACTCTGTCTAGTTGAAAAGAAGATAGTCAGAAGAGTAAAGAATTTGATTTTTTTTTGTTGGGTTTGAAAATACTCGGTCAAACTTGTGTCTGCTTATTCAGAAATTCGGTTAGAATTGTAGGTTTCAAAGCTGTAATGGTCCATTTACAATTAAAATCTGTTTCTGAAACAGATTTTGAACTGGAAGGGTTAAAACTATTGCTATGCTTGAGCATAATATTTACAGGCACACGTGTACAAAGCTGTGTAGAACTTGTAGAAAATATCCTCCTTCCACCTGTGAACATCCTAACCCATCAGACTTCAACTGGAATACACATACAATAAGTACATAATGCGCCATTACTAAAATGACCTTGGCTAACACAGCTGTTACTCACTTGCATGTGAGTCTTTCACCATTGCCTGGTTGTTAGGAAAACAGAGCCTTTTCCTATAAGGTATGAAGTGAAACTGTAAGCATAGGTTCCAACAAACAATTAAATGCAGGTTTGCAACATCTAAAAACCGACCATGAGATTCTATTGGCACAAACATATCACTTCGTATAGGCGTAGGAAGTCAATTGGGGCAATTACCACACAACCTCTGGACCAAATAGTTTTTCGGGCAAAAATCACCCAAAATATTCGGGCAAAAACTCCGTACATATCTATAACTTTTATATTTGCAAATTGATTATGCCTTTTAAGAAAATATATTACCCACACGTGACATTTTCACTTGCACCTTTTAAACCCTTTAACGCCTTATGGTTCCGCATGGAAGTCATTGGAACCTTTTTTTTTTCAAGCGACTTTAAACCTTATAGTACATGATTTTATATATTTCGGATAAAACTTGCTTGCCTCCTCCCCAGTCAAAATCAAGCCACTACGCCTATGTCACTTCGTTCTGATTCCATCTTGATACGAGTGAAATACAAGTTTAAATCACTACAAAGCATGGGTACTATTTTCTTTCTCAGGCGTCCTCCAGTGGTATAGCG